CTATGCACAACCATTCTGTAAGGGGTGTCTTTGCTAATTTGCTGTAAAATTTCAAAGCTTATTTTCATCTTTTGTACTTGTAAAGGTCAGATTTAAAATGTAGACTAAATGTAAGAAGTAAGGCTGATCAAGGAAGGACAGAAAGTTTTCTTTGCCTTGTTTTCAGAACTAGCCAAGTTGCCCAAAACAACTTTCCAATGTTTCCTCCAGGCATGGTGGTCATTAGAGGGAAGAGCAAAGCATCCAAGTTGTCTGTTATGTTTTAGAGGAAACTGACCAGTAGATGTGAGCCTCTCTGGATGTCCTAAACAGTGAAACATAAGTAGTGATTGTGTTTTCTGTACAAATGGTGTTGTGGGATCTGGAAGCAATGGAGACAGAGGTCAAACAAATTAACATGGCAGTATGGGAGAAATTCAGATAACAAGAAGAATAACGGCAACAAATATTCCATGAATGGGCCTCTGTGTTAAAAGAAACTGTTGGAGGATTGAAGTCAAAAAGTTTCCATAATATAGACCTGATTAACCACTGAAAACTCCTCTCTTGCCTACCCTTGTCTGTATATAATATGCTGAATGAATCATACATTTTTGGAAGTATTTGATTTAAAAGAACAAATTAAATGTGTTCAACTATCAACCAACAGTTTGTGTGCTTGGTATTCAGGATTGTTATACATTATGTAGTTATCACCTTGTTCATTCTGATGATTTTTATTATGATTAGCCAAACTCGGGCACACCCCCCCCTTTTGGGAAGAGTTCTTTTTATCCTTTCAATTCACAATTTTTGTAACCCTTATAGACTAGTAAAAGGAAAAACTCAAACACTAATTTGCTGAATGTATCATGAAATTTGTATCGAATCATCCATGTTTACTGTCACATTAAGACAATCATGGGAAAAATAGGAGGGTAGTACGAACTTCAGCAGAGCCTGGCATTGTGTCCAAAGTTGTTTGTAAAAATTCAACAACATACCTATGCCAAATATAGAGAAATGGAGGAGATGGCTTTGACAAGAAGGCAGTAGATGATAGTAAAGTATTATAAAATGGGGAAGATAGTTTGTCCATTTTATTCACACTTTAAAATAACTTATTACAATACTATATTTTCATGGTAAAAGGAGATTTCATAAAAAACCTTATCATATAGCACCATCTTCTGAGCAAACTTCATATTGCAGAATGTATGACTAAGTTAAAGATCATCTAGTTAAAATATTCTTACAGACATTTTAAACTGCAAAGTTTGGATCGAATCCAAACATGACAAAGTTGCAGGATTTTAGTTTGGGCCCCTCCCTAATGTTTGTGACATATTGAGCTTAAATATCTGTTATTCAGAAAACCTCTAGAACTTGTATGTGAAAAGTAAGGTTTATTCTCCATTCATTCATTCATTCATTCATTCATTCATTCGCTTTGTGATAAGTGCAGTATATGAGCACATTCTGAGAGCAGTGCGGAATTGAATCTTGTCTCTTGTACCCTTCCTCCTTTTTTCCTTCATGGTAAGCAAACATTTTATTTTTAAAAAAGCATCCTGATTACACTTGTATAGATTGTTGGACTCATTGGCAGCCACTGGGACATTTTATGAACTTCTGTCCCTTTCTATTTTAACTCCCTGAGAAGGAGTCACATTAATATTAGGGACCAGAAACGGACTGAATCGCTGCAGAAAGTCTTATAGTCTGTTACCTGACATTTCTTTAAAGTCCAAGCAGAGGAAAGGGACCGTGGTCAGTGAGAAAGCTTCTCAATTTGCTCAAGCCATTGTTGGCCATCTTAAAATGGGTACAAATCTTCTCAGGGAACTAACAGCTGAGAGAGAGTATAGAAGGAAAATAAATGGGATCTATTGTGAGCATCTTTAGTAACCAGTCTGCAGGCTCAAAACCAGTAACCTGCTTATCCAATCCCATAGTCTTGAGTATGGGTTCATAGTGGGGTGAGAATATGACCACTGATGGAGAAATATCCCACTATTATCTTGGAGAATGAGTCTCAGACACGTACAATTTCACTTGATACCAACAGTATTTTAGAACAGAAAATATGACCAGAACAAAATGATTCTACCCATTCAGGTGTAACTAAAGACCTACAAGCACGACAGTGGCAGCTAGCATTTTTAGGTGCTGACAGCTACATGTGAGAACACAAAAGCAAAGCATTTTTAACTCCTGTTAAAATCATTGCATGAGCTGAGTTCAAAGATAAACTAATGCTTTAGGTCAACAAACAGGCTCTGTTATTTGCTATGACTGGATAAATAGTTACTCACGGACTCAAATCAGGATGCAAGTGTAACCATGATTTCATCCTTAAACATTCATTTCAGTAGTCTCTCAATCCTTCTTTTTTTTAAAGAGGTCAATATTTTCTTTATCTTGAAGAGGCATTTTTAAAATCCATTTTTACTGTTTACTGTCTGAGCATGCTAGAGATTTAAAGGAGTAGGCCCGGGGAAATCGGATTTTGTTTGATTAGAGTACACATCCGTGCCAGTAATATGTGGCTTGGGAAGAGGGAGAATTCATGTTTCCATTTTAAAATTTACCGGCCAGTAGCATTCATTTAGTTCCTTTGTAGTGCTTACATGTTATCAAGAGACAGAGCATGTTATATGTAGAGGCACTTGTGGCAACTCTCATAGTTAAGGTTGTGTTAAGATTTTCAGTTAGAACAGGAATTCTGCCACTTTTTTTTGGAAGAGGAACACAACATGTGCACTTTGAGTAGTAATAGAATTTTTTGGGGATTTTCAAGAATTAATAATCGGTCCTATTAATAAACTTGTCCTGGTGAGCCTCACCTTGTTTAGTATCCCTTTCGCAAAAAAACTTTTCAAAATCAGATTTTAAAGATATATATTTAAACAAGTTATTTCCCCTCACTTACCATGTTTCTTTCTCCATTGTGCTTTTTGTCAATGAATATAGACCAAATTTCCCCATCTCCTCTCAGCCATCCTCACCCTTATGCTCTTTTCTCCACAACCAGGCTCATCCTTCATCCCCATATTATGTTGTCCCAGTTTAAAGTGAACTGGCAAGCAGGGTTTTCCTCTGGATGGGCATGGGGAGAGAAGGTCTTGGAGTCTGAATGCCATCTGGAATGATATGTTAACCTTTGTGAAACTGGAATAATGCCCTAGTAGGACTATAGCAGCTGGCATCTAATGCAGCTGTAGAATTGGAAAAATCATAAAATCCATGATGGGGATTTTGGTCAATAGATACTGTTAGAATAGAATGGAACTTGCCAGAATCCACTAGCTGCATTTAGTATTGAGAATAACAAATTAGAGTTTTCTCCTTTGGAAAAAATATACCTTTCCCTCTCTGTGTCTGCATTGAGAGCTTTGCTTCATGGAGAGTGCCTTCTAGTACCTTTTTCAACCCCCTCTTAACTGGCTTACTTTAGTTAGTTTAATTTAAAGATATATCAGTATCACAATACCATCCTACTTTTTGTTTTTTTCTTTCTAAATATACAGTGTATTAATAGCTGGAACAGCGGTATCTTGAAATGAGGAAGAATGAAAAAGAGTGCACTTCTCAATGGTTATGTAGTTCCTAACAAAACTGGGAATTGGAGGAGGAGGGGAAAGAATATGCAGAAAGGCTGGAGAATTGCCCTTGATAAATTCTTACTATTTTATTCCTAGGATTATGTCATCTGTACTCTTTGAATTCTCTCAGTGGCTTCCCTGGTCTTCTACATTAACCTTTCACATTTCCCTTTTCAAAGGTCTTTATAATTATCCTCATCTTCACCTCTGCCTTAATTTCCAGAAAAAAACATGGGTTTTGGCATTGACCCTATATTCCTGTATTCATCCTCACTTCTCTCTAAGGACTTTTTTAGGTCCTCCAATTTGCTGCTTTGTGCCTTCTTTCACCCCATTCTATATTCTTGGAACATCTTCCCATTCCTCGTAGGAACCTTCCTCTCCATCTGAGACCCATTTATTTTGCTAAAAGTAGTGATTTCATCAATGTCTCCCAACCTCCCTTCTTGCACCGGAGCCCTTGTTGTGTGTCCCACATTTGACTTAGTTTTTAAATTGTGGAGAGAGTTTGTCCTTGGTTGTTGGGGTTTTTTTTGTTTATATAAAGCTACGTAAATATACATGTAAAAGAAATACTCCATGAATAGTAATAAAACATAAAATGTGGAAAAATACAGATTTCTCTTTTGTTGCTTGGATACTAGCCAGATTGATTGATTGATTGAATAACTCCAAAGTGATTTGGATTTAGAAACCCAAAAGACTTGAAGTCTGTTCAAAACTGGTAATTAGTAAGTGAGATTCCATGTGCTTCATGGACTGCACTGTACAGTGGTCCCTCTAAGTAAACTTGTCAAATAGCAACCCTCAGCACTTTGCAAGTGAGCCATCTGGTCTTTCTGTAGAAGGATTGGGAGCACCTGAGTCTTTCTGCATCCATAGAAAGGGGATTCTCATGTGACTGCATTAGCATTGTAATAACCTTCTTAGAGGTCACACAGAATAGAGAGGTAAGATGCTGAAAGGATTTGGACATTGAGGGCAGGGGAGTAGATCTTGGTTTATTACCTGTACCTGTTATGTCAAGAGAGTGAGATTAGCTCAAGAGAAGAGCAGGATGAACAGCACAGATATCTGGTGGAGAGATGGGTCTAGTGTGCTGAGGGCTAGGTAAGATTTTCTATTCCTCTTAAAAATGTCATTTCTCAGCTATTGGAAGGAACACATGACCTATATTGATGCAGCATCACCAAGAAAGGAGAGAGACTTGCTACTATGAGCAACACTGGGTCTTTTATATAAAACTACTTTAGGAAGAAAATGTCTTTTTGTCACTAGTACTGTTGGAAATACATACAAGTTAGGAATCACACAATTCTTGAAATACTGTTTAAAATTGCATAGAGACTTTCTTAGCAGAGAAAGTAAAATTTATTTTAATTCAGCATGCCATACTATAAACATAATTTGTGTGAATTGATTTGCAACTTTAAAAACATTTTATTTTTATAAATAATCCCATGGTTGCTGAGTCTTAGAACTTTTCTACACAATATATAGTATAAAGCCTGTTAAAACAGCATATTGAAGAGTTCTGAAAATGCAACATTCCATTCCCAAAGTTGTCTACATATTCATAAAGCACATTTGTTACTATTTTACCCTGATTTTTTCTCAGAATGAAATGATGATGAGTTTTAAAGGCTAACATAGACACTATCCAAATATCATGTTTTACGGTATAGAACATTTTACATATATGATAACATTCCCTAATGTATAATTCCAGCACACAAAATTATCAGAAATGAAAAAAAAATCCTTCATATAAACTGGCACATGAAAGAGATGTAATGCAGTTGAATATTATGTGCTGTTTTTCAAGTGATCCTTTGATTCAGTGAAGTTTATCTTCATTCTTAGCATTCTAGCTGGTTTCAGATAAAATGTAAACATGCTTATTTTAATGGTACATAATGTTACACAGTACACATGTTCTTTGACTACATTATTTTCTACTGTACATGTGAGGAAGCTGGCACTCTTCAGCTGAGGTCCTAGATTGTCATATCAATATGATATACATTTTCCCATTATGTAAGCTATATTTGATGAATGTAATTACACTAACATTTTACCAGTGATAAGTCTAATGCATGCTGATTATTCCAAAAAAGCCAAATTTCTTTAAAATATTTTGACAGATGGTTAGTGGGCAATAAACTGACTGTGTGATCAGGGTGCGACTAGTGCATATCAATACATTATCAAATTACCAATTTTTAGATACTGCAAGTTACATTAGCAATCTTTTTTTATAAATGAGATTTCATTTCAGTGGCAGAAACTTAATAAAAGAATGATTTGTTCAGACTCGGGCAGATATTTTAAAATGTTAGAGAATTTAATCGTCTGTATTGCTAAAAATGATTATTCTGTCATAGTGTTTAATAATAAAAGGTTAGACAGTATCACACTTATTATTAGTAACTAGATTTTGTAATTTGGCTTTGAATCAGTTCCACAATTTTCTGATATAATTTGCTTCTATATGCTTTTTAAAAATCCACTAAATATTCTCATTTGTGAAATTAGATGTCATTAAATGTAAACTTACATTAAAGGAACTTTTACTGTGATTTTCAGTTGCCAGTGTTAGTTCTCAAACAGCCTTTTGCACAGTTACCTATCATTGAAGATTTATTTTATCCAGTGTCTGCTTTTCACTTACTTAAACACAAATTTCTTGTTTTCGAAACATATAAACATTGCTGCTGATACGGACAAGAAAATGTCTATTAAGTCTTATTCAGTGACACACATCTATCACTTTAGCTGCTGTTGTATATTATTAACAACAACAAGTAAAGTTTTATAATAGACTTGAACCATTTAAACATTATTATTGTATTACTGTGTATCAGGTGTAACAAAATATTGATATTTGCATATGATTCATGTTTTGCAAAAGCCTGTCTGTGCAATGGAGATAAACTTCAGTTTTGTGCTCAAACCACGTAATGGCTCAGATCTGAGTCTTCCTCCAGTAGAGAGCTGCAAGAATGTATGTAGTTTGTAGTATGTTCTGGAACTTGTCTCTTCTCCTCCTGTCACATGGTTTTTATGGAACTGTACTCAGGGTTTATTTCACACCAGGGACATCCATCATGGCAATTTCACCACAACAACACAAGCTCCAGCTCTTCCAATATTGACAGGGACTTCCTAAAAGGAGGAAACACATTTCTCTGTTTAGTTAACTTCATGTAATCTGTCACTCACGGACTCAAAGGAAAGCAGGGTTTTTTTTTCTAGTATGTAAAATCATGAAATATGTTTAAATAGAACTATGCAAAAGAGTGATTTAAAAAAAATGCAATGTTTGCTGTTAGCAGAATTTTAATGAACGCTGTCATGATTTCGTGGCCATATGGGGCTTTTCAGTTAGTGGAGAGAAAACTCAGTTTCTTGTGCTCCAGGAGCATGGGTCATGCTACCTACAGGAGAATCTCTGACAACTATAAGTAATAGGAGGTGGTCCAGAACACTGGTTCTCAACCCCTTGGGGGGTCACAGAGGTTTTCCAGGGGGTACATCAACTCATCTAGATATTTGATTAGTTTTACAGCAGGCTACATAAATTCAGTACAAACTCAAATTTCATACAGATAATGACTTGTTTATACTGCTCTATATATTAAACACTGAAATGAAATAAATCAATTGGAATGTAAACATTATACTTACATAACTATATGGTAAAAATAAGATAGCATGCTATTACATAAAGTTGAGCAGATCTTAAAATACCTGCCAGCAGAGGGCGGTGGTGACAAACATTAGTCAAGGCAATACCAAATCTATGCAAATATCAGTATTTTGATCAACGTGTAAAATTCCACAGAACGGGATCAATCTATGTGAAACTTTATTTTTAGGCAGAAAGAGAGAACCAAAAGAATCGGAGGTTCATTATAAAGTGAAAGTATTTGCTTTGACCTTTCACTTCTACTTTCACTGGGGTTGACACATTATAGTAGGAGCAAATAGTCTTCATTGATTAGAGCTGCCTTTTTATTCGCGTTATCAAATTTTTACCTTTTTCTTGTATGTTCCAAAATCTTGTAGATTATTACAACACATTAGAATTTCATAAAGAACTGCATAGCTACAGTACACAATATGTAGTGGTGCAATACAGCTAGATGGTCGATTGTAACTGCAATCAAACAACTCTATACTATCTACTTAAGGTGTTCTGCTCATCAGACTCTGAAAGTGGCTGTGCATCCACTCGCTTGGGAAGCGGGGATTGTGGCGTTTAACATTTGATCAAATACATCTCCGTAATAGTCTTATGTTCAACAGAGCATATCCTGGCCTTGGCATTATAAGTGTGATCAGAGCCCACGGTTGAGGACATTTTGCAAAATTGCTGAAGCTTAAAGTGTGTTACTGTAAATTATTAACATATGCTCTCAGTGTTAATTCCATCTTAATATAGTTTTTGTTTGGGAATTAAGTTGATGTCATATATGAGGCACTACCAATATTTTATACATACGCAAAATAGTATCTTGATTTTTATATGTCCCAGTGTACAGCATATATAAATTATTTGTTTTTAATGTACTCACCTCTACTGTCCCTGTAATAATTAGTGTAGTGTCAAGTTTTTAATTTATTTATATGACATTACCTCTGTCCATTCATTATTTTGTGCATCATATGACTCCACAGTGTCCAGGTAACTGTGTCCATCATAGCCTCCTATTGCATATAATCTGTCCCCAAGAGGACAGACGCCAACAGCATCACGTGGTACGCTTAAAGGTGCCACTGTTGTCCAGGTGTCAGTTTTAGGATCATATCTAGGATATTTTATGACCGTGATTAGAAAAATAATTGGTCACAGGTAAGATAATGATTATAGCATTTTTAAATTCTAAACAACTCAGATTAGATGAACTACAGTACAGAAGAAAATGAACCAATTCATGGACAATTACAGTTAACAGCAGAGAGAGACAGAAGTAAAATGGTTTAATATTTTATTTAGCCACTAGAGGACTCTTCAAGCACACACACAAAAAATCTTCTCATTTTACAGGATATAGTCACTGCCTATCATCTTAGATACAATTATTTCATGCTGTATAATGTGAAGTGTGCAGCAATAATATTGTGACAGTAGCTTAATCAGATAAATTGCTGCAGATTTCAATGCATTCTTCTTCCCCTTTGCTCATAAAGCATGCAGCCACTATTTCAAGCCAGAGTTAACATTTAAAGTAAACTTCATTGCAAACATGAAACATTTCTCATGCAGGTAATATTTATTTTGATTAAAATATTTATCTTTATAAAAGTCGACAACTCAAAATATATACAGTAAATTTAACATGAGTTTTTAGTTTGCTTCTGCCTATACAATCGCTTCAGGATACACTGGTATAAATCTCAATTCCCGTGGAGTTAAGTTATTCCAGATTTACATCAATATAACAGAAAGCAGAATTTAACCATTCTGTCTATCCCCTCTGGTGTTTTGCATGTTCACCAGTGTTTCCCTTGCCTTTCTCAAAGCACCGCACTGCAGGAGACACCCAACAGTTCTCTCAGTACATACTGCCAATACTGCTAATTAAATGTCCAGACAAGTCACTGTTTAAGCAGGCTATGAGCATACTCTTTTCCTAGTTCATATTGCAAACTGGGATGGTGTGGGGGGGGCAGCACATAATATAACAATATTATTGTCCTTAAAAAGATGTGTCCAGTGTCTGCATTTTTCGGAGACTCTGTACGTCTGCTGGTAGCATCTCATATGCAAATATGCTTCAATAAGGTTCATTTAAAAATCTTTGCATAAAAGGGTTAATATGAAAGCTTTTCTTCAATAAATGCATACAAACCCAGCAACTATCTTGTAATATCTTGTTGCTGTTCATACTTAGCTCATGGCTTTGAGGGTTTAAGTGGGACTTAAATGGTGCATAGGCCTCGTGTTGTTGGGTATCTGGATAGAGATGAAGCTCACCTTTGAAGAACAGTAATTTAGGGAGGGAATATGCCACATGAGATCAACTTAATGTGCTTCTGAAACAGCTTTGTAAAGGGATGAACAAGTCCTCCATTAGCCATGATAGTTTATACATGCAACCTAGGGGTTTGGTGAAAACATAATTCGTTCAATTGACCTTCTAGAAGAAACACATCAATAGGGCTGATAAAACCTTGCCACATTCTACTGCTGCTGGGTACGGAAACCCAAACTTTCAGGTTCTGTTGATTTGTGTTCTATATGAACCCCAGCCTTCAAAAAAAATCTATTTAAATTCAGCAGACCCTTAGCATTTTTATAATTTTACTTTTGTAATATATTTTGCAAATGTAATGTTCCAAGCTAAGGGATTTCCATTGTTGTACTGTAAGTAAATTTGTTTCCAGAGATTTTAAAAAAATAAATAAAAATCCTTACCTTTCCACACAATCAGAAAGTCTAGAACAGTGGTTGGAAGCAGGTGCGTCATGACCTCCCACTGCATATAAAAATCCATTGTACGTTGCAACACCAACACCGCCTCGCCTCTTAGACATTGAAGCACACATACTCCATTTGTTAGTATGAGGATCAAAGCATTCCATGGATTTTAAGCAGGAGCTACCGTCCCGTCCACCAACAGCATATAATCTACAATAATCCACATAAGGATAAACCAGTGCTGTAAACATATGTTCTGTCTTCACTCATTCATTTTAATAGAGATCTTATTTGTTTATTTTAAAGCATTTTAAGTGAGGCTAATCTCACAGACTGAAATTTGGAACTAACTATGCACTAGGGTTCTTTTCCATAATGCTTTTTGGAGAATATGATTCTAATCTCAAAGGGAAAGAATGCTACCATATTTTTGTATGTCTCACTATTAAGTATTATCAGTAGTATAGAAAAGAAAAATAAGATTAAAGAGCCTTTTCACATATGAGCTATTCATTAAACATAATCTGAAGAGACAAAACAGGAAACAGGTAATCTTAAAAATAATATTGTTTTCCTACAGATGCTACAAATGTTTATTTTTGGATGGCTGACTTGTTAAACAAGGTATTGTTAAACAATGTTATTATTCCATTAATAATTTAAAACTTTATTAAACTGAATCTTATATCAGTTAAATTATTTGACACATCATTCCCTGTGTCTGAAAGACCACAAGGTAGATTTCAGCAGGGACCTGTTATATCATCCTTTCTATTAAACTTGTGTGAAGCTACTGGAGGACATAGTGATGTAGTTTGCACTGTCTTGCCATTAGTATTAAAAAGGCATTTTACTTTCAGTAGTATGGTCTTTTTTGTTTTTTCCAGTGCCTGGCTAATATTAGGACCTTGATTAAAATGACCTGACTGAAGTTCAATCCAGGTAAGACACAAATGATCCTGACTGGTTGGGAGCAGAGAGAATATGGTGGGGATGGTGCTTGCTCTGTGACTCAGGATATTTTTCAGCCTTTTGTCAATAACTTTTATAAATCCTGGGACCCTTCTGGATTTCCCAATGTTTCTTGGGGGTTGCTCCCAGGCAGCTGCAGTGGCTTGATGGTGATTAGTGTGAGAATTTATTTCAGATCTGAACCTTATCTGTTATCCATGCCTCTTTCGGTTCCAGATTAGACTTGTACAATTTCTACTTGCAGATTACTCAGACATTATATCCGGTGCAGAAGGGGGCAGTGTATTAAATGGTACCTGAATGGGGAAAACTGAATGTGTTCTTGAAAGACTTCATGAGAGTCCTATTCTCTTTTAGATGTAGTTCTTCAAGGTCACGTTGATCTTTCAAACCTTGCATGATGTTTATCCTACACACCAGAGAAATCATCATCTATCTCCATGAAAACCATCTTTACAGGTGAAATCAGATGATATATTCCCACTAGAGCTGGTTAGGAAATGTTTGTTCAAACCAAACTTCTTACTCTCAGCCCCTAAATTTTAACATTTTGTATGCTCATGGCAGTTTCTTTGACTCTGGCACACTCTTCATGGGTTGGACCCTACGAAGCTCGAGTTTTTGAATTCAGGGCAATGGATAAAGCTCACTTCCCTGCACAGTTGTTTGGCTGAGGAGGTATATACCTGAATGATATTTTTTCTTAATGTAAGAATATATACCCAGGTGCAATGTGATGGGCATGTTTTAGAAATTAAATATAAGATGTACCTCTCCCTTTCTCTGAAGGAGAAAGACCAAATACCACTACAAACTGGTATTGTTCCTACATGTTTCCTTGGGCAAAACACATTGTATGTACTGAAACTCAATTAAAAAGTTTTCTGGTGTAGTTAATAATTGATGGATAAATATTCTAATTTCAGTACCACTGCTTTAAAAAAAAATAGATCCTGGGGAAACAAGGGAGAAAGTCTTTAAAAGTCTACATGGAAGCTTTTCACCAAGTTGAAGGGCAGTAGTAGGAGCTAAATGAATCACACCTGATCTCATCATATCCCCTGTTGTGTAGTAGATTACCTCACAAAACTAAGAGACATAATTTAGGTCAGGTTGGAGCCAGGCAGCCTGTTTCAAGAGTGCTTGAGGCCTGAGACACCATGGGGCTGGATTTCCTCTTTAGCAAAGGGATTTCCTGCATATCAATGTAGAAGACACTAAGAGGAGTTTCTTGTAAAATTTATACTGAGGATGTCTGCAAGGTATTTCCTCTGTGATAAAATGGGCTTGAATAGCTAGTTCTGCTTCTCTAAATGTTTTGAGTAAACATATACATGAAACTCTTTTCTTAAGGTCATTTGCCAGCTTCATTCTGCCATTGCATATTTTGGGTTATAATTTGCTTGAATCTGAAAGTTTTATATAAATGTATTTGGCAGCATGGGATGTAGAAGGGGTGTGAGCCAGGGGACCTTGTCATGCTCATCCATGCCCCACAAAACATCATACCGAGAGGCTTCCAAAAGCAGCTGTGCCGTTTCACCTGGTTTTCCAATTTCCTTCCTGACTGGTGTGTGGGGAATGGAGGATAAAATTGATCCAACCATATACCAATTTAGGAATTGCTCCACCAATAGCTGAAATGCTGCAGCCCCTTATTAAATTGGAAAATAGAAGAAAATAAAATGTGTCTCACTACACAACACTGGGAGGAGGGGCAATTTTTAGCCAAAGATGCATGGATAGAATGTCTACTTTTGTGCAAAGTTCCTGGGGATCTGTAGTGTCTCTGAAACGTACACAGAACATCCATTTTAAATTCTCATCAGAAAGATCCAGGAACAATAAACTGCCTGGAACTCAATTTGTCTAGATTAGATGGAAGAAAAGACTATATAAACCCTGACAAGACTAAAAACTATGGCTCTGGGGAGATAAATTATTTCAAACCTGTGGTATCATTTCAAATTAGCATAACTATGAATAGCTAAAATACCATAAAGATACAATTTATGAAGGGAAAATTTGAAAGGCTATTTACCACAATAATTTTTTGAGGTTGTGTGGTCTGTGATGATGTCTTTTCGCTATTCTACAATCTTAAATTCTCTTCAGAGAAGACGTTCTTAAATATTGGAAGTAAATGGTCACACATACATAGCTGAGCAAAAGTAAGTAAACAACCCTCCAACCCACCCCCAGTCCTTCAGCTTGTCTGTTTACATACTTGCTATTTAATGGGGCAACCCCCACTGTGCTTCTAGGAGTTGACATGCTAGCAACATAATTCCATTGCCGTGCCTGGGGGTCCCATCTTTCTACTGTATTAAGATAACTCCATCCATCATGACCGCCAACAGCATACATTGGTCCTTCAAGCATTGCTACGCCTTTGAAAAATAGAATTAGGGACAAAATTAGATAGGTCTGACATCAGAACATTTCAGTAACTAATATTCATTGCCTGCTATAGTTATGGCTTTTCATTTCTCTAAAAATGTCTTTACAGAAAAATCATCTCATATAAATCTATAGAAAATCTGCATGACACTGAGCAGAATGTAAGTCACAGACACTTAATGTGAATACAGTATTTCTGCTGGGAAAACACTGACTTTCACTCAAAGATAAACAGGGAAGCAGTTTTAACATGGACGCTCCCCGCTCCAGGGTTTGGCCATTTCCATTTGTACTGAACCCTTCAGGTTAGTAGTAGTAGTAGTATTTATTAATATGTTTAGGAGTTGCACATAAGCTCATTGACGCTATGCATTTAGGTACAGGAACAAGATCATTCAGCTACTGTGGAGCCTTTGAGTTTTCTCATTTCCTTTTAGGGATGGATGGCCCTTCATATTGTTTAGTATACTTTATATTATGTTTAGTTTTTGTTGGTTTTGTTTGAATCTGGATGCCTAAAGTTAGGCTTCTAAATCCATATTTACAGGCCTAAATATAAATAGCCTGATTTTCAAAGACACAAAATCTAATTGAAGCTAATAGGAGCCATAGGTTCAAGACAGCTTTGAAAATCAGGCTGATTTAGGAACCGAACTATAAACATTCAGGTTTTAAAGTTATAGTTTATATATTGGGTGAATCCTCCCCATTGAAGTCAGTAGTAAAACTGTCATTGATTTAATTGTGGCTAGGATTTCACCTGTTTATGTAAGATATATAGAGCTCCTACTTGTCTTATCAAAGCAAATAGTTGCAAAGTTGACAGACCTGGAAGAGCACTAAGCTGTGATGTCAGTACAGAGTACTTGGTGGAAAGGTATTACATGCCATGGGACTGGGGTGATTGAATGGTTATGAATCTAATTTCATCAGTCATTTGACTTTTTAAATTATTATTCTTATTGTGTTTACTGTAACGATTATCTTTGTGAACAGCTTGAAGATTTTCATAAAATACTTGTTTCTAGAATTGTGTCCTTCTCAATTCACATGCTACAATTTATCCCAAAGAAGGATTTTCAGCCTTTTAAAATCCTGCTTATATTGAGCCACCCAGCCTTAAATTTGTCCCTGTTTTTGTTGTTCTGCAATGGGAACACACAATTGTATGTTTACGGTTGATTTCACATAGTTATTAAAGATGTATAGAGGGATATAGTCCAAAGGTACATTAAGTTGTATGAACTTTCTCTCAGTGGGATAATTGGTAAAGTAGAAGAATATTTTTCTAAATAGAATTGAAAGGACAAATTCATTGAATGTTGTAAAGTGTGTTGATTATAGGATGTAGGTGTTTGTAAATATATTATTCTTTGCACACTTATATTTAATTATATTTACCAGTGTTATAGGTCCTTATTTTCAGACATGCTGAGCACTCCCAATGCTAATTGAAGTCAATGGCATCTGCAAGGTCCATCGTGTATTGCAAACGGATCCCTTAGATAGTCAATGGGATTTTAGAATTTCCTACTAATTTGTTACTTTTACCTTTGTATATATTTTTGCAAATGTTCAGAGCAAAATTAGCATTGAAAGGCCAGTGCAAGTTTGTTAGGATAATAACAAGGCAGGATTTTATAGCAGTGGGAAAGTAGCTGGATTTGAAAAATATCCTGTATAAACATTGCTTTGTACTGGTAAATATTTTAAAAAATTATGGCAACACTTAACTTTTACGTTTATCATTCTTAAAATCAGTAGTATTAATCTGTAAATGTGGTGCAATATGTATTGTACAGTAACTCTAACTCTTACCTAAGCCGTGTCTGTGAGTTGACATAGGAGGCATTATAGTCCAAACTTTGGTAGTTGGATTGAAACATTCAACTGTATTAGAGGTTTTCAGGCCATCTCTTCCTCCCACAATATAGAGCTTGTTGTCTATTACTGCTACTCCAAACTGCAATCGTCTACCATTCATGGTACCAATTTGTATCCAACTGTTTGTCCTAAGGTCATATTTCTCAATTGTAGTGGTACCTGTTAAAAGCATAATTATAAAAACTTTAAACTACATCAGAAGGTCCTTAGTGTTTAACATTCAGTAGTTTCTATTCCAAAACCCTCTCCACTCCCCAACGCATCCCTGTCATGGATACCATTACTAAATTTGAAGGCTTTGACAATGCTGTGCATGGACTCTTATTGAGATCTAGTTCTTAGGTTGAAAATTGGGGACTTACTGAGGCAGCTGCATTAAATGCATTGGTATAGCATCGTCAGGCATATAAAAGTAAACCAAGCACTAGAGACTGCAGAATTAGATGTAAACAAATGTTTTGGCTATAGTTAATTTTTGCAAAGTTGTTAAATTCATGAGTTATTTAGGTACTGTGAGGTTCTCTTCTCTTCATTTCCTTATGAATATGGTATCTGGGGGCACTGTGGTGCCTAGCAATATTCGTACTTAAATTGTTGCAACCATAAGAAAAATTGCAGATGCCATGTTTAAATATCTGCCCTTTAATATATTTATGAATGTATATGAGTCCTGCATGTGCATCCAAAACAACGTTTGATATACTTTTTATTTTATTAAAAACAGACAAGGTAAAATTGTCTGGTTACCATGATTTCCAGCCATGTCATGGGCTTGAAATAATCCTATATCTGCAATAATACATGATCTGTATTTTCACTTTTCTTTTTACATTGCTGTGTTTTTTGTAATGCTTTGAGTGAAAGGGTCATTTCTACCTCTATTATTAGAACCCTGACTCCATGCCACTCAAAATTTACACTTTTCAAAGCAATGGCTCCTGTCAGTCATTCAGTAGTTGCTGTTGCTTCCATAATTGTTGATTTAACACATCGGGGAGGCGACTGCCCAGTAACTAAGGTAGGCAGGCGGCGATTGTTAATCATACCTATGAGTCCGAAGATTCTTTCTAGCATGATTGGGTGGTTTCATTCATGTGGTCTTGAAGGCAACCATATGGAAAAACAAATTGATTTTCTGCCTGTCCCCTAATGTGAATAAAATCTACTAATTTTGATAGAAGTGAAGGCAAGTACCACAAGCCCTGTAATTAGCAATTAAAGTATGGTTTATGGCACCAACACAACAGCAGGAAGAAACTGGAATGAAGGTTTAGAATTTACTGCATAGTACTCGCACAAATCCAGTCAGGAGTGACTCCACACTATGTTTAAGTATATTGAAATAACCAGAACAATATCTAATGTTCTCTTTTTATCTCCTTCTGGTGGCTGTTGCATGCTTTTCAAAATCTAATGACTCTTGAAATTAATCTGACTAATCCCTACTGCTCTGACTAACACCATGGAACACATCGCTGCCTACCAGACCCTGTTTGGATATACCATTCCAGATACATTGGAGGAATAATGGGGCAATGGAACTAAAGAAATCGAGAAGTTTAAAATAACATTTTAAAATGGTTTGTCTTTTTATATTTTGGCCGCCTTCCCCACCCCCGGTGATCTTGTCCCTTTTCCTAGTTTTAAACTTTCTTCCCCTTCCCTATTCTCTCCTTTTATTCTGAATTTGTATATCCCTTTCACTACCTCTTTCAATGCTCTCCATTTTGTTTGCCTATTTGCTACTCATTCCTTTGACCCCTCCCCATTTGCTCTGCTCTCCTAATGCGTGAGCTTTCCCAAAATCCTCCAGTCTGATTATTTCAAAAGATTTAAAGAAACATTCAACCCACTAATTTTAAAAGTAGGTGAAATTACATTAACTCTGTATGGTGACACTAGTCAGCTCTGTGTTTTTGGGGAACCAGGGCGCAGTATCTAGCCTGTTTGACTCATGAAAGACACACCACCCCACAAGTCTCTGATTGAACCAAACTGATCAGAGAAAAGGCTTGCAGAAAGCAGTGAAGGGCGTTGGGAGACATGGCTAGACCTCTTCTGACAAGGGTGACAAGATTAAGAAATCTCCATTAGTATACAGATTGAAGAACAGAGACCACTCCCCTAGCCTCATCTGCTTGAAAGATGGGACAGGGAGACATCTCCATTTGCATACAGAATGGAGAACAGAGAAGCGCACTGAACTCTGGTACCTGAAAAGCAGGGAAGCATTGCATGGGGGATCTCTGTTCCAGACGTTAATGAACCTACACCTGCACACACCCAGATCAGCAGTTATCAGGCCAATTCTAGTAATGAATCCTTGATTGATATCCAAAATACTGAAGCAGCCAAGTTGTACTGTGAGCTCCCTGGAAGAAAACACCACCCATAGCCAAGAGTGATCAGCTCCTATAGTCTAGCCTAAAGAAAACCCTTGAGTCATCAGTTTACCCATAAACAAAGCTAATGTTCTCCTTGAACCCTTGTTGTTTCTCTACAAAAACCCCTACCTATGCCCAAGTAAGTGTTCTGATGCATGGGCCCAAACTCTGCATCAGTTCCACTGGGACTCCATCTCCTGACTGATAGTGCTGGGGGCTCTGCCTTTCTCCAGCACTCAGGACACTGAGCTACCACCATCACCTGGGAACCCCGACCAGTTCAAGCCTCATGGAATGGGTGAGATTTCTTTTCTTTTCTTTTCTTTTCTTTTCTACCTCAGGTATTAACCTTTAATAATATAACTGTTATGTTGGTTTAGGCTCTCCTTGTGTAGTTATCACTATTATTGAATAAGTAACTTTTATGGCTAAGCTGGTTGATTCTCTCTCTCTCTCACAACTTTACTCTTTTGTGTTTTTAGCTTCCCCCATTTACTCTGCAGCAACGCTTCTTTTACCTAAGCTAAAGATCCCTACAGTGCCCAAAATACTGTGGGGTTTGCTCATCAAGTGGGTTACTACCAGTACAATTGTGACGTGAAAGTGGGGATAGGGACATGTTAAACCTATGGCACATAAGAGTGGCAGCTGAAAGTGCTGCTTGGCCCAGCCTGATGAGACCAGGGGCATATAAGGATGACAGCTTGAAAATGCTGCTTGACCCAACCCATTGAGTATAGGGACATATAAGGGGGTCAGCTTGAGAGTGCTGATTGATCTGGTCTGCTCAGACTTGCTCCGTGTGTGTGTGTGTGTGTGTTTGTGTGTGTGTGTTCATCTGGTTCTAGGGCTGGAGGATCCCAGTCCTGGGGAACCTAGGTCCTGCAAGATAGCTCCATTGGGAGGGGACTTGCAGAAGGAAGGAGTAGAGCTCCATATGAACACACAAGTGACATAAGCAGTACATTAATAGAATTACAGACCCCCCACCCCAGAAGAGTAACCCTAATAAATGAGCATACCCCAAAGTAACGGGCACATCTGGTAACAGTGTATCTGTGCATACCAGCTGTAATTTTCAGAGAAGCCTACAGGAGTTAGGCACCTAGCACCCATTCAAATTCAATGGGATTTGGGAACCTAGACGCCTCTGAAAATTTCAGCAAATAAGCCTAGTTTTGATCTTCCTTTGAGCTGTTTCACAATATCCTCTGATAAATACGAATGGTACCATAGGTGGTTGTGGAGTTTTTTTGGTGTTTTTTTTTTGTTTTTTTTTGGCGGGGGGTGGTGGGAGTGGGGGTTTTTTGTTCTCCTCACAGAATTGCATTATTGGTAGAGGTGATAATTTACTCCCATTCCCCATGTTGTTGTACTAGTGTACAGTAGTTAGGTGTTGATTGATTTTATCTTACAAATCCAATGCAGGCTCAAGATGTGAGTCAGAGTGGTTATGGGAAAGTGGGGAAGTGAGGAAATACTGACTTCCTAACCATCAAAAGGCGAAAGTTCAAACAAATGGACTCTTTCCAAGATAATGAGTAAAAAGAGTCACTGATGGGAAGTACACATGTTCATAAAAAAAGTCCTTTCTTTTTATAGTCCTTGCTTGGAAAACAAATTGCCTTTTTTTTCTTTTGATGGGGGAAAAAAACCCTAGTTTATCTTTAAGCTTACAGTTCTTGGTAGCAGATGATTTACAACAATATCATTTAGTTTGATGAAACTAACTTCAGGAAAGAGCCTCAGTTTCTTTCCTTTATCTAGTGATAGGTGTCATCACGTGTGTTTCACTTTTAAAAGATTGTAGAGTTGCAATTATTTCAGACTCTTCAGGGAACACAAATCAATCATGCTAACCATTTTTCTTGCTCTTCATAACACTGGCTGTTATGGATATTTGATGTTTAGGAGGTGAGCTGTAATTTTTAAAGGAACTCAGTATATGTAATACTTTTAAAACCTAAAAGTGGAATGGGCAACTGTCTTGAAATGCTATTAATATTCATTACATACAGCAAAATGTAATAAAGGAGCGAATCACTAGTCTTGAACCTAATTATAACATCCTATCTTGCTGCTTATTTTCTGAAGAGCAGGAGCTCTGTGACGTAACCCTATGACATTTTGGAATAATTGTATTTCCAGGCTCACATACTGTAGGTATGAGGGTAAGGTTCCTGCAGAACATTAATTAGTATGTTCCTTAATGTATGAACTATTCCATTTTTAAAGTGACATACATAAAAGTATTACAGTCCATATGAACTTGTACTTCCGGTCTCTTGTTAGTAATTTGAAAAGGCTTAATCACAGAGTGCTGTTGAATGACATTTCTATGTATAATTCTTAGTAAATCATTAAAGAATAGGATGCGGACTGTGAAAAGAAACTGCTACGTGATATTTCCTTGATTTTTTGGTTGTGTACATGCCATTGTGACTGAACATGACTTCAGGTGTGAGAATGTGCTCACCACACTGTATGCTTTGGGTTCTTGTCCAGCTGGTTGGAAGAAAAGGGTTTGTTGCATCTTGAGGGGATCCTTCCACATCTGGTAGCAGACGTAGAGGAAGGGGGGAAAGTTTACTTGTGCAGAGCAACGAGGAGCAGGAAATAGCTGGAAAAAATTGGAGGAAGTGGAAGGTGGTGGTATTTATATTTCATGCAGTCCCAGAGAAAGCTCTGCTTCACTTGGATCATTGAGAGGCTGAGAGCACTTCCCCCTCTGCCCCATAGAATCTAGAAAAAAGGAACAGTGTCCCTTCGTGATCCATTGTGAGTATCACACTAGTTGCCCTTTCCTCTCAGGGGCTATGATGGATTTTTTCCCTCACTGTCAGTATGGGCTTTTTCACCTTCTCCACAGCAGGTTTGGGACCCATTAGGGTGGGGCCAAGGGGGTTAGGTTGTAATGTTGCAATTTAGTAAGTAAAATTGTGGCATATGTCAAATGAAGGTTCCTGTTATGGAAAGGCTATAGTTAGTTATTGGATAAAATGGATTGGGCAAGGTTGTAAAGGAAATCAGCCCTTATGGGAGCTGAGGAAGGGAAATTCATGGCACCTACATCTGTTACACCAGGGAACCAACTTCCTTCCTCCTCTAGCCCCCTTAATCCTCTTATAAGGGGAAGGCAGTGGAGTTCCAACAATGGGATGGCTGGGAAATGTAGAACACCACTGTAACAATTAGTCTTCAGGGACAAGCTGTAGGAATTTTCTTTGCAGTACTGAAAAATGTTATGTATTGTTGCAAGAGTGAAAAAAACCCAAGACTCTAACGAAAGGTTCTCTTTTTTAAAATATGTGATTAGCTTTGTTTAGAAGCGATAATAAATGATACTCTTAAAATGGTCCAATAATATTGAGTTAATTTTTTTACTTTTCTATATTTTCCCTCTCACCTTTCAGGATTTGGTTGAGACTGGTGCTCAAAGTTCTAAAACAATATGCAAAAGATCGTTTCACAGTATTTCCAAACTGGCCACACGTAGGTAATAATATAATTTTCTTCTCATCATTTTTTCAGAAAAATTCTGCTGTAAACCTCTAAATTTTTGAGTGCTCTTCTGAATTGAACCTGAAGTCTAAACTTTGAGAAGTTAATCTATTACTTACAACTGTGGGTCTTCCTGCTAGAAGGCATAGCACAGAGTAAGAGGATCATTTATTCTTTCATCCCTAAATTTCTGTGTTTAGAAACTTTCTAATAACCCAATAACTGCTTTGTCACTTATTATCTGGGTGTTCCTAAAATAACTGAAAAAACTTCCAAACTTGCCTTTAGTAGCATCCATGCCTCCCACAGCATAAAGTGCACCCACTGTAGACTTCCTAGGTTTAGTTCGAGGACTCTGCAGCATGGACCTTCTTTCCGGTAGGAGATGATACTTCATAGCTTCCATAAGAAGTTTCTGACACTCAAGGTCATGTGTGAACATTGGGCTATTTTCAAGATCTGCTAGTAACTGAGAAATCAAACAGATTGATCTATACTCATTTAAATAATAAAAGATAGGATAAAGCTTAATATCTGAAACAAAATCACAGATCTAATTATCTTGGGCCCATCTTTCATGTGAGGTTTGTCATAGTCCAAATAAATTATCTGATGCAAACTAATGTAAATATAAGAAAATAAAATCTTGAAAAGGTTTTTATTTACTCTTATGAACAGCCACAATCTTGCTCCCATTGAAGTCAATGGCAAAACTCCCTTTGGCTTGATTAGAAGCAGAAGCTCGTCCAATATAATAAAAGAGGCAACTTTACTAATAGAGAAACTAATTAGAAGTCCTATGTCCAGTGATGAGCTGCCAGAAGCTCAAGAACCAGTTCCTTCACTCGCTCCAGGTCTTTGGCAGCACTGAAGGACTCGCCGCCGAAATGCCGCCGAAAACCCAGAGCGAGTGAAGGACCCGCAGTCGAAGTGCTGCCGAAAGCTTGGAGTGCCGCCGGGTCAGTAAAAATTCTCGTGGGAGCCTCCCCAGCTGAGAGCTCAGACAGGACGGTCCCGTGGGCCACATCCTGTCCATCCCGCCTGAGCTTCCCCACCCCTTTAACAACCAGTTCTAAACCGGCTTCAAAATTTAACAACCGGTTCGCCTGAACCAGTGCGAACTGGCTCCAGCTCACCACTGCTTGTCTTTTATTTTTTAAATGAAATATGTGTAATATCGATATCCAGCCTGCAACTGTAGAAGCTTATGCACTTTGGGAACCCACATGCAGTGTTGGAGTCTAGGTTTGATCAGCACTTCATATTCTGACATGCGTACCAGACTGACTAGGGTCCCTCTCATACCCTTTAAAAAAACTAGGAAGGAAAGAGGAATGACCTCCGATTCTGACCAACTAGCATGGTTGAAATGCATAGAGTAAAAATATTAAGAGAATCAGAAAGCCATAAAATAATTATGAAGTGATATCTAACAATGCATGTCATATAATGCATTGCAACACATTACATTCTGTTTTGATGTTGGGTTGCATTGACAGTCTCATACCACAAATATCACAAAGCTGTAATAAGATGTCAACTCACTACAGAATTGTAAAGCTGTCTCTGTGACTCCCTTTGATAAAGTGTCCATTTCAATGTTAAAGGTTGAGTAATGATGCATGTAATGAAATGTACACTGCTGGTTTCTATGTTGTGTGGTATGCTGCTAAAATTCAAGACAATAAAAGTTTTGGATGTTTTTTAAAAATTATTCAGTCTTCGGACTGATTTGCAATTTAAATTTAGTGAGTTTGTAGGATATCCAAGTTTCTGTTACTAGATGAGAAAATACAGCAAAGCACTCACTACATTTCAGGTAGATATGCTGTAGACTGGTATTTTAAAAATGGGCAGATTTTCAGCACGAATAACCATATTGGCCTTGTGATATCCTTTTTATCTGTTTGTTGGATCTTTGCAAATCAATAATATTTACTTGACCATTTACCAAAATATCAAATCTTTTTAGTATAGAAATATGTTCTTTACCAAACTGAAAATACGTACGTCTGTGTGTGTGAGACAGAATACGCCCCTGTATTAGCACCCAACACATGATTGTAATAATCTTTGTACAAAATATGTCTTTTCAGGTATCATTTAAAAACTCATAATTAGCTGGTCAGTATCATCCTGATAAAATATTTGTGGCAACATTTTATGTAAAGTTATAAGATTTACTTGTATATTGTTGTTAACACACATTTCAAACACCACAGCCCTGCCAAAACAGAAATCAGCAAATAGGAATGTTCTAGACAAAGGAATGTGTACTTGCCTTAATTTGCACTTAAGCAATAAACAGAGTCATCAAGCTGGGAGGGAAACAAAGAAGGCTCAACCAGGTGAGAAAAAGCCATCAGGGAACATCCTTCCAAACAGACTCTTTGTCTCTTAGTGCCCAACTTGAAATATTTTTTTCAAGAGGGGGACTGAATCTATAAAAAGGAGGGACAAACGCCCCCTGGGGCCTCTTTTTCTTCCCCTGCCTATCGCATTCACTGCACGTGAAGAGAAAAAGGAATCAGGTGCTGGACTCTGGGTGAGGGGTCCTGATCTCAGAGTTTGCTGAGTTTGCAATAATTTGCTGGAGAAACTTTTCTTGAATCTAATATAGTTGTTTGGGCATTAATAAATATCTGTATTTTCTGGTAACCATTTCTGATTTTTATGCCTAATTACTTATGCTCAAATCAATTTCTTTGTAGTTAATAAACTTTTTACTGCTTTATCTAATTGTGACATTCCCCTGGTGTTATCTGGACCGATGATCTGCTAGGTCAATCCTTGACTCTGGGATCCAGCCTTACCCTGCTTCGTTATGAGAACCCCCCCTCCCAGGCTGTTCACTCACAGCCTCTGGCATGTAAGCTGCTGCCAGCTACGTGAGTGAGCACTTTTGGCCAGCAGCTGCTTGGATTGTACAACTGAATGACACTAGCCAATATCTCCAATCCCAGACACAACCCTAGGAACCCCCATCTTTCAGCGTCCAGTTATGCCCACTGGATGCTGCAAGCTTATACGAGTTCATCAATTTAACAAAGAAATTGATATGTACAAGGCTTATCATCCCAAGGGGAGTCTCTGACATACTTCAAACCAAACACACTGCTTCAGATAGAATAAACAAACAAAATTATTAACTACAAAAGATAGATTTTAAGTGTTTATAAATCCAAGCACCAGAAGTCAGATTTGGTCAAATGAAATAAAAGCGGAATGCATTCTAAGCTGATCTTAACATTTTCAGTGCCCTTGCAAACTTAGATGCTTCTCACCACAGGCTGGCTGGTTGCCCTTCAGCCAGGCTCTCCTCTTTGATCAGTGCTTCAGTTGCTTGATGGTGTCTGTAGATGGAAGTGGAAGAGAGACTGCATGGCAAATGTCTCTCCCTTTTATCATGTTCTTTCTTCCCTCTTGGCTTTGCTTCCCCACCCCTTCAGACTCAGGTGAGCATTACCTTATTGTAGTCCCAAACTGACCAAGGGAAGGGGGATGACTCACTCGAGAGTCCAGCAGATCCTTTGTTGCTGCCTAGGCCGGTGTCCTTTGTTCCTGTGAGGCTGGGCTGGGTTTGTCCCATACATGCCCTGATGATGTGAACTGCCCCTCTGCTCCTGGAGAGTTTTTCCTGGGCTTGTTTTAAGCCATGAGGACACATTTTGAGCCTCAAACTATATACATGAAATTACAACCTATAAGATTACTATAACAACAATGCTCAGTGCATCATGAGCCTTCCAAAGACATCCGACAGGACAAATTTGCATTGGATACCACACAATCATATTTTAAGGATGAACAAGGGGGTGCAGGGTGTTCCCTTAAGGTTCAGAGCATCACACTAATCTAATGTGTTTAAACTTAGAGTCTGAATAACTATTTGAGATAATAAACTGGGATACAATTCCCTTAAAGGAATAACAAATTTAAAATGTGTACTGTCCCAGAGAGGGCTGAGTAGGACAAACATGTCTGTGGAAAAATCCGAGACTGGGGTGTGTGTTAGGGTCACTCTGCAGAATAACCGAGGGTGGTGAGTGCCACAGATGGCTGGCAGGTAGCAGTTGCATACAGACCTTCAAGGTGTGGCTTGAATACTGGAAAGGCTGTTTCTGAGTGGCCCAGGTGGGAGCTACTTCAGCAAGTCATTGCAAGGCTCCCAAGATTGTAAGGCAGGAGTGACACAGCCCCCTACTGAGCTGGATTGTACCCTGGCAGTGAGGAAAGGTTTTGAGCAGGTAGTGATTTAAAGCTATTACCCCTTACTATACATTCATATACCTGTGGTGGGAGTAGCGGCAGCCTAATGTAAGAGAGGAGCATTCCTAGGTCTTGTTGCCTGCTTTGCAAATCATGTCTCACCCACATCATTAAAGCCTGGAATATAGCTTCTTCATCTGGTACATTGATGTCATCGCTAGACAGGAGTTTTGCAATTTCACTAGCAGGAAGCAAAAGAAATTCCTGATTCTTTATTACTTCTGTGAAGTGTTCCTAGAAAGGAATAGATTTCAATGAACTCATGTTATTGACACCCTGATACAGTATATGAACAGAGAATGCATCTTTTGCATAGATTGTATGCCTGCTTCCCAATAGAATCTAGACAAATGTTCTACAGATTACTGAATCTAACATGGTTTCTTAAGTACAGCCAAAATTAATTTCTTTAAGAAATTGTTTTCCATGCCTAAAAAGAAATAGATAACTTGAAATGTAGAATGCAATTGAAAACCACATAGTACAAATCCTCTAGATCTTTTCTGAGTTTCTATGCCAACCTTTCATTTGTGAATTCCAGACAGTGACTTATGACTTAAGTGAGATATCAAAGTGAGTTTTGTGGCTTTAGCCTTCTTTAGAGATAGTGTATGAACAGGATAGATCTAGAGGCCAGGAACTGTTTCAGAGCAAAGCACAATGAGCCCCCAATCCAAACTGGGCCTCTGGACACTGCTGTAATACATAAATAATAGTACACCACTACTAACAAGATAGGTTAGAATTCCTCCGGATCTTACATCTTTGTTCTTGGAGACGCTGGCAGTTGGGTCTGAGCCATGTGTTCCATTCTAATTACTGCTGCCTCAGCTCCTTCTAGAATCTTCTGTCAGTCGGTCTCTTTATGGTTAGCAAAGGAGCTCCCGCACAGGAACCGTGCACTGGATTTTTTTCCCCCATGACTACTCCAGTTCTTTTGAGGAAACTAACTATTTTTAGGCAGCTCCATCTCTTTCAAGCCATTGGTCACTCCCTCATCAGAGGCATGGAGGGCTAACATGCATGAGAGGTTCGAAACATCATCATAGTTGCCTTGGCATTTCAATACTAGGTAGAAGAAGAACTATGTTTTTTCTGCCTTAGCACACTAGCACCTAGCAGGCTCAGGGGTCCTCCTGTGATACATCAGCAGTGGCAAGGAAAGGCAACCTGGTGAGTTGGCAATTTTAGGGGTGCTCCCTCAGGAGTGTATTTAGAAGGTTCTGGCGGGGGAAGAGGCAGAGGTGAGACGGAGCTCAGGGGAGAAGCTCATACCCAACTGTCCGTGTCAACAATCTAATACCTTGGAGATCTCGAACCAGTTTGGCACTAGAAAGCTGAGGCCCCAGGACAAGAATCTTGGGTGGTATCTTCAAAGAAACAGAATTATAGGGTAGTGATTTTTTTTTAACATTGTGCTATGTTGTGAACAAACTTTCGAAACACTTTGGCTTAGTTGTCACACTCTGCCCAAAGAGAGGCCCAGGAACAGAAGCACAATGGTGGTGAAGTTCATTAACAACAGTATGGAGAAGATTGTATGCCATATGCCTAGAGAGCACCCAGGTCCAGAGAGAGATAAATTCCTCACTTTTTTGAGCATTAAACACTCAGATTGAATGATTTATTCTTAATTTATAGAGGGATTATTAAAGATTGTTTTACTATTAATATGATGTTTCATCCAAGATTAGAAGTAAAACAACTCTCTAGGTCTCTCAAAACCCCTGAAAGTTGCACCCATTTTATAGAGATTAATGACCTGAGTTTCAGCTGCATGAGGAGCATGGTTACTAAGTACTTCTGAAAATGATTCTGTAAGTGATTTGTCCAAAGTTTACAGTGAATCAGTGACAAAATCAGGAATAGAATCCAGGATTTTTGACTCCATCTTATGCTCTGAATCAAGATGGAGTGATTTAAATCCAGGTTATTTAAATGACTTATTTTTAAAAATTGTATGTGCGCACACGCGCGCGCTTTTCATGAACAAGCTTTTCTATCTTGATTTAACATGAGACTTTCTCTCTGTAATCCATTACTCTATTGTCAAGTACATGTAAAAGAAGGAGGAAATTACCCAGTTTTGGAGGCCTGATGCTGCCCCAGTTTCAGAAGAGGAAGCAGCACTGGCTAGCCCCTACACTCCAGCACAGTCTCTACACAACGACTATATGTTGTTCTAAAACAATTTAAGATTGAAAATCAGAGCTAAATTATACTAATAAACCTGGAATAGAATACATACAATCAGTTTGAATGTCCAATTTATTGCTGGTTAGATATTGATGAATGCAAATGTCTTAAATACACCAAGTTCTTACCTCAGCATTCTTTTGCAGTAAACTGTGACAAGTCTTGACCACATATTTGTACTACTAAGGGCAGAAAAGATAGCAAGAGAAAATACATTTTCTCTTTAACAATACCTTTTGTTAGACAATGGAAATTCAGTCCTGGTTATACATTTCTCCCGCTAAAATCTCAAATACTTGGGGACCCAGGCCTGCAGTTTTTACTCAGGTACAGTTCTCCATGGACTGCAGGATTTTGCCATGAATCTTGGTGTCCTAAAATCTTTCATTCAAAGCAATATTTTTATTTTCCCAAAAAACACTACTTCTGGAAGTCTAATTACAAGTCAGTAGTAAGGAAAATACATTAAAGATGATATTTGTTGTACACATGTAGCCAGGTATGTTTGCATTCAGTGGATGTGCTTGAAATATAAATTAATATCTACAATTACATTAAAGTAGTATATCATATATGAAAATATAATGCAACCTGGAACAAGGAGATGGAGACATTTTCAAAGTTGAAAATATCATGCGTTTTGTTTGTAGGCAGTAATATGTTATAGACTTCATTATAGTAATGTTAGAGACTTTATTACTATTTAACTTGAAAAGAGTTATTGTATTTAAAATAGATATAAAAATAACAGTATTGGGGGTTTAAAGGAGATGTTCACTTTGGTCCTTAATACACATCCTGCTCTAATGTTGTGATACTCCAGGGAATAGGAACAGGAAGAGAAATCCACTTTAAGTTACAAAAATAGTACAAGCTGTTTATCAGAACAGGCTTCATCTGCATGAGAGAGATACCAGGCAGGAAATTGTTAATACTTTGCATCAATAACTAAAGTAATTGAACAGAAGTTCTCAGGTTTGCTTTTTTGTGGCTGATTTTCTAATCTGTTTACTATTAGCTCATATTGCAAGCAATCTCTCTATCTGCAATATGCCTTTGTAAATTGCTCCCTTAATTTGGATATTTTTACATGTTTGAACTGGTGATGGGCCAAAATCATAATCTTGTATTCAGTTCACTCCCCTGAAGTTCAGGGTGTGTGCAGTATTACCTGACCTTCCCCCAAAACATTTTGTAAGACAGGTTCAATCTACTTTAAAACAAATTTTCTTTTAAATTTATTCCTCAACTGATTCCAGAAGGTGCAGGTTTCCTTTCTTGTCCCTAAGCACTTAGTGATTGGGCGATATAAGGCCCCCTTCTGGGGCTTGCAGTGTTCTTCTCTGCCTCACTTCGCCAGCACCATGCTTCATTTTGTAAACAAGAACAGGAGCCAGTTCTGGAGGCTGGGATTTGCTCCATCTGGGTAGCAGGAAAAAGGGGGAGTGGGAGTAACATCTGTGCAGTGTGACCAAATCTCATGTCTTTACCCTGAGTCTTGATATATTTTATATTCTTCTGAAAGCCTCAGCTCCTGGATACATGTGAGTATTTAAGATGTTAAGGAGAACAATTTTTCTCAATGCTCCTTGTAACAATCTTTTATGTACGTGGAAACTGTTATCATGTCCCTCCCTCAGTCTTCTCTGCTCCAGACTAAACAAACCCAATTTTTTTCAATCTTTCCGCATAGGTCATGTTTTCTAGACCTTTAATCAGTTTTGTTGCTCTTCTCTGGACTTTCTCCAATTTGTCCACATCTTTCCTGTAATGTGGCACCCAGAACTGGACACAATACTCCTGAGGCCTAATGAGTGCAGAGTAGAGTGGAAGAATTACTTCTTGTGTCTTGCTTACAACACTTCTGGTAATGCATACAAGAATGAAGTTTGCTTTTTGCGACAGTGTTACACTGACTCACAGTTAGCTTGTGATCCACTATGACCCCAGATCCCTTTCTGCAGTGCTTCTTCCTAGGCAGTCATTTCCCAGTTTGTATGTGTGCAACTGATTGTTCCTTCCTAAGTGGAGTATTTTGCACTTGTCCTTATTGAATTTCATCCTATTTACTTCAGACCATTTCTCCACTTTGTCCTGATCATTTTGAATTTTAATCCTATCCTCCAGAGCACTTTCATCCCCTCCCGGCTTGGTATTGTCCACAAACTCTATAAGTGTATATATGTATTCTAGTAATATTATAGGAAGGGACACAAAAAGTGCCGTCAATCTGTTCATGCTACTTGCCCACCTTAATGGGCGAAAAACTGGATGGGGCCATCAGTGATTGGGAGATCCCAGTAGAAATGAGAAGGCGAACACACACTGGGGGATGCAGAGGTGACCTCTCCAAGTGCTTAGTCTCCAGCCACTCATTGGCCAGATGGGAGAGCGGGGGTAGTGATTGGTCCCTAACACATCCCTTTCATTAACTTAAACCCTAGCCAAGGCCATGTGGAGCCTCATTTTGACCCATTTCAACAGCCCCACCCTTCCCACATTAAACTGGTAGCTTCAGAGCTGTGTTATTGCAGATGCAGTGGGGTTGACCTGTTTTGGGGTCAGGAAGGATTTTTTTCTTCCCATAGGGGCCAAACTAGCTAAGGCCCGGTGGGTATTTTTGCATTCCTCAGGGCATCCTGGAGGAGTTAAATAAGAATAGGATGTAGTGCTTGGTAGGGATGTAAGTTTGTCACAACTTGTAGCTAGTTTCCAATCTTAAAAGGAAAAAAGCAAGAATTCCCAGAAGTGTTTAAAAACAAAAAAAAAACAAAAAAAACAACCTGACATTTTGCTGATGGGCCTTGTGCCTTTGGGGGCCAAGGTTCCCCCTTTAGTACCCTCTGTCCCCCTGTCAGAGAAACTGATGCAGTGATAGGATTCAGAAGAGTGATCTGAGTCCTAGGGTTAGGCTGAGGTGAGTCTGTGGGTTATGTGGTAGGAGCCATGTAACCCTGCACTGAAACCACTTAAAATGCCTGATATCTGAGAGTATAGTTGGCAAGGAGGGTAATACCTCTCTGCTGTGTTAAATTTAATAAATTTGTAACCTATGACTTCAAATTCATCCCAGCGTTTGTCCTCATTTGCCACAATGTCCAAATTAATTTACTTCTATCTCTGGAATGGCTTTTAGAATTGTGAAGCCTTTACGCTGCTACTAAATTTGTTGATATCTTGTGCTCATAGTTTGAGAATAAAATTGCTATTTGTTTCCTCAGAATGTTTCCTCTTACATTAATTTTGCTATACTTGCCACTTTTTTGTATTTTTTTCTAAATCTCATCTACTTTTTCTTTTTTGCCTTTCTTCCTGTTTGCCTACACCTTGAAAGCAGTGTTTGACTTCTCTTTGCACTACCATTAGTCAATAAAGATGAACTGTTGTCCTTCCTTGACGGCCGCTAGACCAGAATCCTGTTGACTTTTCAAAGGATACAATATAGCTTGCATACAGTATCTTCAAATATAACAAGATGGCTGTTCATACTTTTTCTTTTTAATAACAGCAAGTTATTAAATAACAAGTCAAAAATATAAACAACAAAATCAAATGTTTCTTTCTAATGTTTTTATCAGCTCCCAATTTCATCCCAGTAATTACACCTATTACATTTTCCTTTTGAGGATGGATTGTGGCACATATTTCTGTGGAGTATCCTGCACTGGGAGTTCCTGGACGCATGGTACCTTAGCAAGGCTCAGTGTCTCTGGATCTCAGGTGTGCAAATGGAGAGCACAGCCTCTGCATCAGTCTGTGAAATTGCAGCATCAATACATCTCTGCACTCAGCTAGTTCTGCTGCAATAACCCCTGGCCATCTTTCCATCACCCCATTGATTTTACAGATCCAATATAGTATTCATGCCTGCTCTTCATACTGTCATTTCAAAATGGTTGGATTAATAATCTTACCATAGTGTACAGATGTGCCACCTTCAAGAGTTCCATGCAACCCTGTGCGTCTCCAAAGGATCGAATCCCTAAACAGTTTGAAGGATGGAGCTGCTTCATGAGAAAGTTGCAACACACTTCAATGACTTGAGACAGCTGGAGAAGACAAGCTGCAGCCAGCAAACTTTCTATAGTGTCTTCCTTTAACTCTAAAACTCCTATAGTGTGGTTTAGATCAAGAAAATTATGCATTAATTGGTTTGCCATTCATTTCCCTTGTACCTATGGCTACAACTACCCTACGAACAATGGGTGTGATTTCCAGCTCCCGTACGCGTACTCATGCTAGCTCTTATCTGAGCTAGCACAGTAAAAATAGCATTGCCATGGTAGCACAGGCAGCAGCACGGGCTTGCCACCCCAAGCATATACCTACAGGGTTCAAAGGGTTTTGTATTTGGCCCAGCTCGCCTGTACTGCCACTGCCTGTGCTACCATGGCTACGCTACTATTTTTGGTGTGTTAGCTCAGATGAGAGCTCGTCCAAGTATGTGTATGCCATAGCTTGTATGTAGATGTACCCCACGGGTCTATTTGTATTTTTTTTCCCCATGAGTCTTTCCTCATGGGGGAAAAAATCTTTGGAAAATCTGGGCAAGCCTTCAGGTTGTATCACCACCCCTTTTCCACTGAATGCATCCAATGAAGGGAGCTGCTTACGAAAATCTTATGCTCGAATAAATTTTTTAGTCTCTAAGGTGCCACAGGTTCTCCTTTTCTTTTTGTGGACACAGACTAACATGGCTGCTACTCTGAAACCACCCCTTTATAGCCACTGTTTCAGTCTAGGTTGCAAATGAGTCTGCTGTCGTCCTATATCCCTTCTGTGTGCATTTGTCAGCAACTGGATCTTATCTAATTGTCAGCCCCTACCGCAACCCACTTCTGATATACCATTCCATGCTAATGACTGCACAACAACTAACGGTGGGGCAAAATTTGTCTGGGCTTACCCAAAGAAAAGCAGCTCTGCTTTGTGGTTGGGGGGCGGGGAGAGAGGAGGAAGGTCAGAAATTGCTGCAAAAGGTGCTTTGCAGCAGTGACTCACCCCTGCCCCCCAGGAATTTGCATAAAGGTACGAAATCTGGGGGAGGGGCAAGTCGTCTCTATGTCCAAGCAGTGAGGAAGCCAGCACCCACCCAATCTCCGCTAGTGAAGGTGAATGGCAGGCTGGTTTAGGACCTGCTGTGGGCATTACGCTAGTAGCCCTTTTTAAAGCGGGGCTGGGAAGGAATTTTTCCCACACCACAACAATTGGCTTCAGTGGAGTGTGATTTTTCAACTTCCTCACAGCAGGTGTGAGGATGGACCTTTTCTGGTGAATAGAAAAAGTGGTAGGCGATTTGTCACAACTTATTTTGTAATATTGGGTGGATGTTCAGTGAATGTATTCCATAGGGAGGGCAGCCAGTGACCAGATAAATGGCCCGGTAAAGGACTTAAAAGGAGGTCCTGGATAAAGGAACAGAACAGGGGAGGGGGTTCGGGGACTCCTATGATCGGTATGGCTGGGAGCCAACCCCCTCCATTCTCATAGCCCTCCTTAACCCTCTTACGAGGCTGGTGGATGGTAAGGTCCAAGCCATGGGTCGGCTGGGGGACCTGGATGGAAACAAATAGGGGCTGGTGGAAGTCCTGGAGAATTGAGTTTAATAAGCATGGATTTGCCTGCACTGTATACTTTATCTGCTGGGTAGGCCCAGACATCTATAGAATAAGGTTGTGGCTTGATTAAAACCCATAACAAGTCTCCTGTCCTTCTTGCGGTATACCCAGACAATTCTGAGTCAAGATACAGAAGGATGTTTGTTGATCATTCTTGGGTTGGGTCAGTACTGCTAACCGGGATATAAAGTGTATCTCTGTAAATAGGAATCAAGGGATTGGGATGGAGGAGGACCTGCAGGGAAAATCTAGAAACAGCCAGTCTGGGGAGAAATCTTAGGCTGAAATTCACGGCATCTTGTTTGAGTTACCCACTAACCCAAACCCCAGAAAATTGGTAATTTTGTACTAGGTAGGGGGTTGGTAGACTCTGTTTAATGTAACATAGTATTGAAGGGGTCAACTAATATTAACAACATGTTTATTGAAATAAGTTTATTTCATGCTTATATGCTATGCATTTATTTTCAAATAAAATACTATGCCTGTAGATTAATTTAAATTCTGATGTTAATTATGAATTAAACTTTTCCCATATCTCATTTTTAAAAGACTTTTACAGTTAATTTATATTAATCATATTTTTCTTTTAATTTTACCAACTAAAATGTGTTAAACTTTTATAAAATTGCATTCATCCATTTTCTTGAATTACACTTACATATTTTGTTCCATAATATCATTGTTGTGAGGTTTATTCGAATATTAGTGTAAAATCTCTAGTTGTAGGTTGCACTTTTACATAATACCTGATATTTCTACAGGTTCTAAGACCATCAAAGTGGAAACAGTCTTCTATATTTTTAGCACTTTAATGTAAATATCAAAACACAGTAAATGAAATGAGCACTTGGAAAACATTTTAAATGCCAAGTTCTTGCACAGTAACCTTTTTAAAATTTAATTTTACTTTATATTTGCCATGAAATAATTTTTTACTCTCTTTGAAATGATGCATGGAAAGGTTGGACCCACTCAACAGGTATGAGCCACAGTTTCTCATGTCCCATTCTGGAGGTGATGCATGTAGAAAATTGTCTTATTCAAGGCAAACCAATGAGTGCATGTATGAGAAAGGGAGAATGGAAGATCAGTCCGAGATAGTTCATCTCTGTACCATAGACTGTGCAAGGGTGTTGTTCTGGTAATTTGTGTGCTGCTACATTCTGGGAGACTGTTTTTTCCCCCTTCTCAAGATTCAGGCATGGGAGAAGGAGCTCCTTTAGCACCTATGGCAGAGTGACCTTTATTCTGAGTTGAATAATCTCCCAAAGAGCTAGTATCTGCAGCCTTTCAGTGCTTGCATAACTTCGAATGCTGTGGATATTTTTAATTGGATTGTACACTAGAGTAACAGAAATCTGTTCTACAACATTTTTTCTCCACAGATTACAGAGCAGCAAGAAAAAGACAATTCACACTTCTCTGGTTTGGTCTGTTTGGCTATTGACTAAGTTCTCAGAATCAAATTAGTAATTAATGTAAACATTGGGGTGCAATTGTACTGAAAAGAGTGGGGAGAGTAGAATAGAAAAGCTGAAAATACTCTGCTACTAACATAAAATATCTTAGACCAATTTTTTTCAAGTAAACATCAGTAGTTAATTTTTCAAATTTGTGACTAGTTCATGACATTAAGGAGTACATCTTATTCCCCTTGATCCAGTTCCAAGGACGGGCCTGTGCCTCTCCCCCTGAAGGAGATGAGTTGCTGAAGTTGAACCTGGCCATTTGGTGGGGCATCCAAAGGGCAAAGGTTCTCAGCATGCTCTTCCCATATAACTTCATGAACAAAGCAACAGGCAGAATCTGGCCTTTATTCATTTAAATTACTATTCCTCTTCTTTGTGCCTGAATTAAAAATAGCAGATGTTCTAATCATGTACAGAGTAACAGAATATTTTGACATTCGTATATCTGTTGGAATAAGTACTTGCAGTGTTGATATAGCCATGTTGGTCCCAGGATGTTAGAGAGACAAGGTGAGTGAGATGATGTTTTATTGGACCAGCTTCTGTTGGTGAAAGAGACAAGTTTTCAAGTTACACAGAGCTCTTCCTCAGCTTCAGAAACTTATCTCTTTCACCACAGACATTGGTCCAATACAAGAATAAGCTATTTGTCATACAAGATGTGGAGTGTGAGGGAGTTGTCTATTTTTATATATATCACGTGCACCTCAGTTTACTTATTTGATATTATCCTGCCTGACTGCAAAGAAGTGAATCAAAGGAGGCTTTTTAGAGATGGGGGAGGAGAGAAACAGGAAACAAAACAATGGCAAAGAGAAAGTACAGTCTGAGAAAATATCATGGGGTTCCTTGAGGAAACAATGGGGGTAGTTAATAACCCCCTCACCCTCTGCCTCACTCCAGTGAGGTTTGTTCTTCCCAAAGCCAAACCTAGGATCTAAGTGGATTCTGAAACCTTAAAGATGCTGGCACGGGTAAGAAAAGGGATTGAGTTGGTTGTCAGAAGCTGCCTGAGATGGAGATGCCAATGCAGACTCATGGAAGGAGGGAAAGAATGCAGCAAGGCAGTCTGCTTCTCCCAGCTGAGATGGAAGTAACTGGACTGAATTGAACTTACCACCCAGAGGTCCAGTCCCAGAGGGGTTGAACCATGTTGTTCCACCCTTCAGAGAGATGAATGAAGCCAGAACTTTCACCTTAGGGGTGCACTCAAAGGACACAAAAGGGTCTAAAGCACAGCTTACCCTGTAACTATGACATATTCTTATTTTTCCTCACAATAAGAGCTAGCTAGGGTTGTTGTGGGTTATTTTTATTTTGTCATCATATTTAGTAAATAGCATTCTACACAAATATATTTTCCAGTATTGGGTATGTATCTAAGCACTAATATAAAATGGATGAGGTGAAAAATTTTGCATGCTGGACAGTGTTCACCTTTCTTTACAGAATTAGAGAATAGATTAGGAATTACCTGTATAGGCATAGTGCACCAAAGCTTTTAGTGCATCTGGGTCCACTCCTTCCATTTTGATCTCTTCTTCTTTTGCTTCACGCACATCATTAGTAAACATTGCAGCAAAATAATCAGACACAGCGCTAAGAACCAATCTTGAAATGGAAACAGCCCATTATTATGCAATTCATTTGTGTGTTTAGGAGAAACATATTGGCTGCCTTTAAAAGACTTTATCCTTACAGTGGTTAACAGTGAAGTTAAAAGGGAATTAAGTAATCTAAAGTAATCTAGTAAATTAGAATCTGAACTTTTCTTTCAGAGGGTGTCTTTGTGCTGTTTGCTTCACTCATCTCTCTAAAGTTTGACTGTAGCAAAATAGAAAAAAACTGGTTCATACTTGAATTTCTTTCTATTTACAATAATGAATTTAAAGCTGTGATCATATCATTTAACTGTCTTCAGCTGATATGCTAATTATTGTAACCATTCATTCATAACTAATCAGGGACAAGGTGGGAACTCACATTGTCTGAGCTCTTGGAACTGTCAGGCTATAAAGGCTAGTAAACAATAAGGAAAATTCCACCTGTGAGCTGGAATCTTGTGATTTCCAGCAATGAGAAGAACATCACACAGCTGCTTCTGCTGGAGATAGTTCTCCATCTTGCGAAATGTCTGCTCTGCATGATTTGTAGATTGGAAGTATTCGTCTGAGCCATTGGTGTTCATTCCAGTGGGTGAACAGCTAGCTATTGATAATCTGTTAAAGAAAGAGAAAACGATGTTACTGTAGCATTATCAAACCCGAGAATGCTTTTAACTTCATCTTTAATTGAGCTGTGGAAATTGCAGTATAACTGGAAATCTTTAAATATATTGATCTGGTGAGAGTGGACTTAATGTGTCATTTTCCATTTGATTCTTTTAATTATACTTCAGACCTTTTGTAAACTATTTTAAAACTTATTGTAACTATAATAAACATTTTCTAAGAGGAAAAACAAAATAAAAAGAAAGGGTTCATATCTGGCAAATATAAATAATGTTAAGGATATATTACACTATTTTAGTGAGTTCTATGAAGTCAGGCAGAGGATTCTAGATTTGAGTAAAAGAGATTATGAATCAGGACTAGGTGGCACTGGTTTTTTCCTCCAGATACTACTTCCTTCTCATTTACTGTGCTGATTTTATTAAATCATACAGTAAATATAATTTGGGTATTTCCAATTATTTTAAGTAGTTTTTGCTGCTCAGATGTGTGCTTTAGGCAATTGTCATAAGTGTGTCTACTAATTTATTAATATGAATGCAATACTGATAGTTAAAAAACTTGATTTTAGAATTATTTCCTGTGGGTCTGATCCTGCAAAGACAACTAAGTCCACCAATTTCTACCAAGAGCAGTTCCATGGGCATCAATTAGAGGACTATTGATGCTAGTAAAGGTTTACATGGGTAGAGCCTATGAAGATAAAGTGTCATGGTCTAAAAGGTTCATGGCAAATCCCAGACTTCAATACAAAAATAACGCATTACATTACACTCCTAAAAATACACAAAAAACCCGCTGGTTTTTGACCAAACAGTTGATTGATAATTCATATTAATTAATCAGCAAGCACATGAGTGTCAATAAATGTAATGTGAAAAGTCTCAATGAATTAATGATTGGACCTCTCCTCCTCTTGCTGAATACCATATTACTCAATGCATGATTTTTAATTTTTTTAACAAGTAGGTACCTAATCTGCAGGCCATTTCTATGGACTTTAATCGTCTGATATGCATATTATTTTTCCCAGCTCCTTTCATCACCTCTTCAAATGATGTTTTTGTTTTTATTTTTTTGTCAACTTTTAATGGATGTTTACTTTTTCCTAACTCTTTTTGAGTTAAGATGAATCATTTCTTTGGCCATTTATCATGTTGATGAAATCTAGTTTGCTATATTTTTTTCCTGATACTTGGTACATTTAAACTGGAAAATTATCTTTACAGTTATATTTGGATTTATAGTGGGCCTGAAGATGTCAAGAAGCAGCAGCAAACCTTAGTTTTTTTGGGTTCATGCATTGTGCATGTGAAAACTCAAGTGAAAGAAACAAGCAACTTTCATGATGTTAAGGTCTTTCAGCAACATGTTCTGGATTTGTAGAATCAAAGCTTCCATTTTAAAGAAATTTCTCACTTTCACTGTTTTCAAAGGTAGTCTTCATAATATAACACTTGGGTCCTGTAGGGTTGCTGCCATTGTATGTGTGCATTGGCCAGGTCTGGAGTAGAAGAGGTTTTCAGATATAGCTATACCAGCATGCCTGCCTAGTATAAATGCACATTATGCAGGCAAGAGTTCTGTTGCTGATATAGCATCTACCAGTTCTCTCAGTGAAACTAGCTACACTGACAAAAGCATTTTCATGTTAGTATAACTGTGTCTACATTTGTGATTTTGCCTCTATAGATGTGTTGTTCCATTACTATACCAGCAAAGTTTTCTAGTGTAGATCTGGACACTTTGTGTTTTTATTTTGGCACTATCTCAACATTGTGTAAAACCTATTTACTTAGGGGAAGTCTACACTTAAAATGCTGCGGCAGCTGCTCCGCTCTAATGCTTTAATGAAGATGCTCTAAGCCAATGGGAGAGAGGTCTCCGGTGGGCCTAGTTAATCCACCTCCCTGAGAGGCAGTTGCTATGTCAGTGAGAGACACTCTCCCACTGACATAGCACTGTCTTTATGGTGGGGAGAGGGTTAGGTCAGTATAACTGTCACTCAGGGGTATGGATTTTTCAGACCCCTAAGCGACTGTAGTTATACTGACATAGGTCTGTAGAGTAAACCAGATATTTGAGAAAGTGTAACTTCAAAGTCAACTTGAGACCATTAATTTTGCACCTAATTCAACTTCTATTGAAATGAATGGCAGGACTTAAAAGAGAGCAGCCCCTAAAACAACAACAAAATAAAGATTCTACTGGAGTGAGGCAGCATTTTCATGTGCCCTTTAGCTCTTTCCCCCCCCCCCCCACCACCACCTCCCGCCTGCCCGCCCAAACAGAATGAACTCTTTTCTTATTCTTTAAAGTGAGGTTTCCTTGTCACATTAAATAGTTTGGAATGAAATTCAGATTTTCCTTGCCCATTCATCTTTGGAATTTCTTCACTTTATTTCTCATTCTTTCCTTCTTTATAACAACTGCAATTATTCAGTTTGTTTGTGCAATGGAACTGGATACAGTGTGTCTGATTCTGCTTGTTAACCATACAGAATGTGCAAGCCATTATTACATTTAGGAAATAATAAATTGAGGTAATAAGAAATTCCAGAAGCTTTCACATAGTTCTTGTTGCTAAGAAACGTCTTCTGTTATCCATGTGTCCACAATGTCTGTATCCTTCACAGTCTAGCTGTCTAGAGTGCAGACCAATTTTTGTGACCCCAAAGGTGAAAACAGAATAATTCTATCATAAACATACTACTCAGATTGAAACAACGAGAAGTCCTTGTTTCACCTTAGAGACTCACATATTTATTTGGGCATAAGCTTTTGTGGGCTAAAACCCGATGCATGGAATGAAAAATACAGTAAGCAGAATATATATTATAGCACATGAAAAGATGGGAGTTGCCTTACCAAGTGGCGGGGGGGGGGGGGAACGACAGTGCTAATGAGCCAATTGAATATATTTTTGTAGCTGTTTGGGGATTATGGGAGTATAGATTGTTTTCTGGTTAAGAAATTGGATATATTCCTTATTTATTCCTGTCAAGGTTTTTCTGCAGTTTTTTTCGTTTTGTTACACAAAGGAAAATGCCAGTGCTGTAAGTCATTCAAAAAGTATTCGATGTCAAACCTGTGTGTCACAAACAATCTTGTGATTTGGGTGCATCATGCCAGATCCAGAAAGCTGATGATAGAGTTTTAATTCCATATGATAGATGTTATCTAGTATGCAATGAAGCAGGTTTAAATTTCACTTGATACATGAAGTGAAACTGAATAAAAATTAAGCTGGTTTACCATGAAGTAGTAACAAGTAAAATTCTAGCAAGATGATGACAAAACAACTAATGACTCGCAAACTGACCAACTAAGGGCCTCTACCTGATGTCAATCAAATAATAGAATCGCAAAAATATGGGGCTGGAAGGGACCTCGAGAGGTCATCTAGTCCAGCCTCCTGTGCTGAGGCAGGACCAACTATACCTAGACCATTCCTGATAAGTGTTTGTGTAACCTGTTCCTGAAAACTTCCAATGACTGGGAATCCACAACGTCCAAATAGAAGCCGATTTCAGTACTTGACTGTCCTTAAAAATTAATGTTTTCCCCCAAAATATTTAGCCTAAATCATTCTTGCTATACATTAAGCTGATTACTTCTTGACCTATACTCATAGGACATGGAGAAAAATTGGTGACTGTCCTCTTTATAACAGCTCTTAACATATTTGAAGACTGTTATCAGGTTACTCTTCAGTCTTCTTTTCTCAAAATTAAACATGCCCAGTTTTTTTTAACCTTTCCTCAAAGGTCATATTTTCTAAACCTTTTTCATTTTTGTTGCTCTCCTCTGGACTCCCTCCAATTTGTCCACATCTTTCCTGAAGTGTGGCACGCAGAACTGGACACAGTACTCCAGCTGAGGCCTCACCGGTGCCAGGTAGAGAGGGACAGTTACCTCCCTTGTCTTACATACAACATCCTCACTAATACACCCCAGCCTTAGCCTTATATTAGTCTTATTTGCAACTGCAACACATTGTTGATTCATAATCTGTTTGTGATACCCTCTAACACCCAGATCTTTTTCCCAGTCATTCCCCATTTTGTACTTGTGCAGTTGATGATGTTCTTCCTAAGTATAGTATTTTGCACTTGTCTTTATTAAATATATTTCATCTTCTTGATTACAGACCAATCCTCCAATTTGTCAAGGTCATTTTGCATTCTAATCCTGTCCTCCAAAGTGCTTGCAACCCCTTCCAGCTTGGTGTCACCTGCAAATTTTATTAAGTATATTCTCCACTGCATTATCCAAGTCATTAATGAAAATATTGAATGGTACCAGACCCAGGACAGAGCCCCGAGGGACTCTACACAATCTGTTTGACAGCAAACCATTGATAATTAACTGCTCTTTTAGCACAGTCTTTCATACATTTTACTCCCACCTTATAGTAATGACTAGGGTATATACCCTAGATCAGGGGTCGGCAACCTATGGCACGCGTGCCAAAGACGGCACACGCAAGCCAATTTTTAATGGCACGCTGCTGTCTGCCGACCCCAGCAGACAGCAGCATGTCATTAAAAATCCTGCCTGGCCCGGACCACTCTTCTCCACCCCCCGCCCTCTCCTTGCAGGGCAGGCAAGCTTCCCCCTTCCCCCGCCTCTTCCCCCAGCGTGTTGGGTTCCTGTCCCTCCTTCTCTCCCTCCCTGCAGCCTATCAGCTGATGGCCCTTGCTATGGAAGGGGAGAGGGAAAAGCGGAGCCGCAGTGCGCTCTTTGCTCCCGCTTTCTGCTCCGGGGACCTTGGGGAAGGGGGTGGAATCAGGGCATACCCCTCCAGCCCCCTGCCATGAGCCGCTCATGGCAGGGGGCTGGGAGCACCCCCATGACCCCAGCCCTCTTCTCTGACCTCATGAACCCGCCCATACCCCTCAGCCCTGGCCCCTGCACCCCCCTCACACACCTCCAGCCCTGACTCCGGCACCCCCACACATACCCAGCCCCCCTCCACACCCCATGCC